TGGAGCTCCCTATTCCTCTCCTCTGTTCCCTCCAGCACAGCCCCTGAGGAAACCCTGGGTGGGTGGGTTCTGTCTTTGTGAGTCTCTAGGTAAGGCCTAATTACTCTGGCTGTTTGGGGCTTGCCCTGCCGGGTGGCCCAGGTTTCAGGAAGTCTCAGTGCCCAGCCTGGTTGTTATTTTCTGACGGTGGAGGGTTTCTATGGGCAACCAGTACAAAATCAAGGTTCCTCCCAGCAGAATGGAGTCTGAGTGAGGTGTGCGATAGAGAGGAGTGCGCAGTCCCTCCCATGTGCCGGGGTTCGCGCTCCCCCCAGGACCCCTGCCCTTCCCACCACCGGCTCTCCTGGCTCCGCCCTGGGTCTTACAGCCCCACGCCCAGCCGGCAGGAGGATTTGCGCAAGTTAGGAAATGGCTCCACTTTCTCAACTTGCCGTTCTGCCTTTTATTCGAAATATGTCGTCCCTACTGTAAACGCTATGATGGTAGCGTGTGAATAGCACCCCCTGGAGTTGTGCAAGGCACAGTTTGCACGGCGGTGAATGGTGAGTCTGGGCTTGCCTGTTGGTCCTTGCCCTGCAGATGAAAACCACCACCTTTGGGTAGGTGAGGTTTATGGCTGGAATTCCTGAAAATGTGACTGGGGGTTGGGTAGTTGAGATTTCCAGGTTTCCAGCTCCCACTCCCCCAACTATGAAGGGTTGGCAGTAATGAGTGGGCCAGGGAGCCCTGGCAGGAGAGTGCACTGCAGAATTGGGAGTGACCAGTGCACCCCCACCCCATGCACACATGTGTGTGTGCACACACACCCTCCTGTTCTCCCATCACCAGTTCCCACTGCAGAGCCACCACGGGAGGTGCAGGTGTAGACACCCACAGAAGATGGGGAGAGGTTATGGGTGGTAAATTCACATCTGAGGGCCTCTAGGATTGGCGATCTGATATCACAGAATACCTTAGGGCGCATCTGCTTCCCTCATTTAAAAACACTCCAAATTTTGTATAGAATTTACACACACACACACACACACACACAAGTAAAACTGGGGAAATCTACATAAGATGGGCAAACTGTATCAATATCTTGGTGGTGATAATGTATTAAAGCTTTGCAAAATAATACCATTGGGGAAACCTGGTACTATTTCTTACACCCGTATGTGAGCCAACAGTGATCACAATCAAAATTTCAATTAAGAAATCTTTCTCCTCCAAATCCCTGCTGGTGAGACACCGGCCAGGCACCACCATGCGGGGCCCAAGAGACCCCTCAGTGGCCTCAGGACGCCTCCCCACCACGTAGGTCCTCCAGCTGTCCCTGAAGCATCCTGCCCTCCCCTCACACCTGAGTCCTGCCCAGGGCATCTGGAGGCTCCATCTGGTAGGCCAGGTTTGCGATATCTAGGCTGAGACTGGGACACGCCTGCCGGCGTTTGGATATAGGCAAAACCAGGCAGGCACCCTGCACCCCCTTCCTCCCCCTACCCCCGTGGCCTTCAGGTCGTGGTCACTGAGCACAGCCATTGGTACCCCTGTGATGATGACTAGCCCTTGCCCCTCTGTTTGCTCACTGATGAGCCCTCGTTAGCTCCAGCATGGACCATTGTAGGCGCCTCTCCACTGGTGGTCCTGCCACCAGCCTTGCCAGGAAAACCATTCTAAAATCAGACCCGGCAGCTCCCCTGCTTATAGTTCCCTAACCCCCCATGTCCAAGCTCCCGTTCATAGTACCAGACCCAAACGGTCTGGTTCTGGGCACTCTCCTACAATCTATGTGTAAGTGGGAAGCCAGGAAGGGGTCAGGCAGGCCTGGGCCCCTCTGCCGTCTGTC